CATCTGAGAACGTAGAGTTCAGTAGCCCAGGTCTCTCACAGTTGCCTGGAGACTTTGTAGCAAAAGCATGAATTATAGGAAGCTCTGTGGATGTGGGTGGGATTCCACTCTAAGTAGCTCAGCTCTTGAGCATGATGAGTAGAGCAAATAAAAAAAAAAAGGACTGATTTAACTTGTGAACAGGAAAGCAAGCAAACAAACAAAACAAAACAAAAAAGAGAGGAGAGACCACAGCAGAAATATAAGGTTATTAGAAATGAGAGAAAGAATGAGACATAAGGGTAGGAATTATGAGCCATAGAAACTGAATCATGAGAAGAAAAAGAAATGAAACCACAGATTTTTATAGGAAGCCACACAGAAAAATCACGTTTTATCAGAAACTCAGGATAAAAGGTAAGAGAGGCTTCAGAAAATACATTTTCTCCTTATTTTTTTGGTATCCTTTGTCAACCAAACTTGAAGGTTGAAGAAACACTGCTTGTACAGGAATGGGGGCCCAAGTATTTCAGCACTGTTTCCCTCCAGTCTCTTCATGCTGCCTCTGTCACTTACAGATGGTACAGCACCAGCCCATCATCCTAAGTCCAATATCAGATAACTGGGCTATGACCAATCTCAGTGGCCACAGCCACCACCTAAGATTCTTACCCTAGTAAAATTCAGGTCCCAGAAATCTCAATGCTAGCAAAGTTAGGAGTTAACCATAATTTAGTGCTCCTTTTGTGGTCAGTGCTAGACAAAAGAGCCTCGCAAAAACTGGGGTAGAAGTCATTCTTTTCACCTCGTGCTGCCAGATAACTCTCTTACCAGTAATGCTATGCTTCCTTTAATGCAATGATTCATAATTTCAGTGAAAGTATAAATCACCCAGGGGGCCTATAAAATGTAGTTCTTGAAACCTAAACTCCAGAGATTCCAACTCTTTGGTCTGATATGGGCCCAGGAATACATGGCTTTAAAAACTATCTCAAGTGGTTCTGATTCAAGTGGTTTGAGGACCATTTTGAGAAATGCTGCTTTAAGAAATGTATACAATTCTCCCTTTTGTTAGAAGCAAGTATTGCAAAAGGATGGGCTAAAAGGAAGAATACCAATGACTTAGAATTCAATACAGCTGAACGTTCCTTCACAGGATTGGTCTTCAACTTAATTTTACTTACTTAGGATCTCTAACTTTAGTCTGCATCAGAAATACCTGAAGGAATTGTTGAAAAAGAGATTTCTGGGTACCACTCCTAACATTTCGGATTTGGTAGGTCTGAGCCTCCAAATTTGCACTCTAACAAGTTCCCAGGTGGTGCCGAGGCTGCTTAAGGACTACACTTACAAAACCACTGCTGTACATTAAGAGGGTATAATTACCTTTTACCAACATGAAGGTTTTGCTTTATGTTCTGTTAATTCTTTCTGACAACCAAATATTCAAGTAGCAGGAGAACAAATAATATTTTTGAATCTCTACTATGTTTCCTTCTCTTTTAATTCTCAAAGTGTCTCGTAGGGCAGATTCAGAGAGGTTATGTAATTTGCTCAGGTTCTCTCAACTGTTAAGAGTTGAATTAGCATTCAAATACAAGTTCAAAGGATATGTCAGTCTGTTTCAAAATGGGAGTCTTGTAAGTCACCCCATTAGCAAAGTAAAATACTAATTGTAAAGAATCCAGATCTTATAGTTTACTTGGTACCGGTTATTAGCTACTTTTAAATTAGGGGCAGATTATCTTTCATGACTGCAAAGCACTGTAGCACCATGATTTTAGAAAGGGGCAGCTTGCCTTTCTGCCACCAATCCCAGCTGCTGAGAAGTGTTCTAGGGAAAATCTTTTGGTCAAATCACCAAATGACTTGGAGGTGAATCCTGGATCAGTGACTAGATAGGTTAATTTTGGCAAGTTTATTACATTCTTTGAGTTTAAATTTTCTTTGTGTAATTGAGAAACTAACACCATGCCCACAGGTGTACTGATTAAAATAATCAATAATAGATCATTAAAAATAGGATCATACCTAGTATACTACACCCTTGTTTTTTAAGATGTTAACAAATATGTGCAATGGAATCTCAAGCTGCTCCATTAGGTATTTCTGGAGCTCTCTTATTACACATAGGTCTCAGTGTCTGAGTCATACGTTTAAGTATATTGGTTCCATTCGAATTACCATAGTTGAATATTCAAGTTTCCATGTTCTCCAATGGCATCCAGTATGGTAACCTTTTCTCCCATAAATTACACATTCTCCAGAGGCCAGAATGTCATTATATACTTCATTTTAAATTTCTGATTTCACCTAATATAACTCTGAAATCCGTATGTACTCCTTATCAGTTGGTTTAACTTTAGTATGTAAAGCTTTATAGGGGATCTGCATATGTTGGGAGCATATATATCAGTAAGATGCAAGAATAAATAACTTACTGACTCAAAAATTATGAAAAATGTGACCCCCACACTGTATATTCATGTAATTAGAAAATCTGTAGAGGAAATGAGCATTGGGGTAAACTCTTACAGAGAGGAAATGCTCAGGGAGGATCTATTGATAAAATGAACTTGAAGAGATCTTTAGCATTATGCCTTTAGGTATCTTCTTACATTATCTTATACATATTCAGAATACAGTAGATATAAATCTTTGGTGAATATTAAAATATAAATATTACAGAAAGGTCATTTTGATTTTATTATTAAAATTCAGTGCTTAGATTTATATATCTAGGAACTAAAAACTAGTTTGGATTTATAAATATAACTTCTAAACTAGAATACTTGTTAAGGACAAAATATACATTTATCTACTACAATTATATTTGGTAAATATATGTATTTCTGTATATATATGTATATATTTCTGTGTGTGTATGTATGTGTGTGTTGAAGAAACAAAATGATTATATATATATTATAATATATATATAATATATATATTTCTGTGTGTGTATGTATGTGTGTGTTGAAGAAACAAAATGATTATATATATATTATAATATATATATAATATATATATTTCTGTGTGTGTATGTATGTGTGTGTTGAAGAAACAAAATGATTATATATATATTATAATATATATATAATATATATATTTCTGTGTGTGTATGTATGTGTGTGTTGAAGAAACAAAATGATTATATATATATTATAATATATATATAATATATATATTTCTGTGTGTGTTATATAATCATTTTGTTTCTTCAAAGACCTTGAATTGAGAATGATAAACAAGTTTATATGTGTTTTTGAAAATAGATTAGTACTACCAGCTCAAGACTCTCCAATTTCTATTCCCGTAAGCAATTTTTACTAAAACTTAGGTTTTGAAATGTAACTAAAGATGGCACTGTTGCTTCATATTAACCAGAGGCTGAGCTTTCTAAAAACTCATATTTATAACAAAAATATCCTAAGTTGTACATAGCTGTATTTCAGGTCTTACTTTTTATCATAGATTGTAAAGATGTAAATTTTTTTAGAAATTTAAATTATATATTTTACTTTTCATAGAAATTAACTGTTGAATTTAAATGAATAAATGGAGCAACATTTCTATTGACTTTGGGATATACATAAAATTTTAAATAAGGTCACCAGTATACTAATGAACAAAAATACTTGACCAATTTCTTCTTGATACAAAGTATTTATAATTGAAAAATAAGCTGTTATAATTAGAAGAAATTAACAACTTAATTTTTCTAAAATATACTCTTAAAATTAAAGCTTGTATGTTCTTAGTTATAAATACAGTTGGCTCATAGAAGTTTGCATATTGATATGTTTTAATTTAAAAAAAATCAGCTACCTAAAAATTTACATTTATAAACATATTAGAGACTGATTATTCCAAATTCAAAAGCTAGTTAACTTTCAAAGAGACTGGTCAAAATATTCTTTCCAATAGAAAATTATTCCAGTTGATTTTAAATAAAATTTGATTCTGAATTTCTTTGCTTGCTGCTTTTAGCAACAAATGTATTATGCAATGCAAGGTTTAATTTAATTTTAGTAGCTGATCATTCATGCATAAAATTGTCAAATGTGATGTCAAAAAAAAGACATATAATTATTCCTGAAGACTTATTTTCTAGTTAAAATATGTAATAATGATAATACTTTTTATGGAGTGCTACTAGGTTCTAGGAACTATTATATATACATACATATATACATATGTATATAAAATCTTGAACTTTCACAACTTAAAAAAATAGGGATTATTATTCTAACTTTACAGGTGACAAATTATCCAAGTTCAGGTAGCCAAACCTTGGGGAATTTAGTTGCTATGCTGTATTTCTCCATTTAATACTAACTTTCTTTTAAAAGCTCAATTCATATTATTAATTTTATACCATTATCCAACTCTATGTTTTTACACTATTCTATTTCATGAATTATACTACTGTGTTTATTTCAGATATTAATATTTTTCTTTTGTTTCCCTCTAGGATTTTAACCTTTATTCAATAATATACCTAAATGTATTAACTATGATGCTTTGTTATAGTGGCTTGTTTACTGGAAATCCATCTGTTTTGAATAACTTGAAGTTGAGAAACTTAATAGATCTTAAGGAAAAACATAATAAAATCATTTATACAAACTTTTGTGTTTACTAAAGAAATATAAGTAGTTCCCTAAATAAGGACATTTATCAAAGACACAATGATCTGAAATTGGTTCTACCATAAATTATTTTTCTACTTCCAAGGCAGAGGTTCATTGTGCAAACTATTTTATACCCCTGCCCCATTTCAAAGTGTCATTTCTTCTTTTGTTACTATCCCCAATTTACATAATTTTACATAATTCACACAATTTACATATACTGAAAACAAATTTCTAATTATTAAAGTAAATATTCACAGAAAGTTGAAAATATTCATTTGACTACACTTAATGGTATTTTAAGGTATTCTGCACCTTTTTAGACATTAGAAGTTTACTTTTGAGAGTTGGGAAGAAAGCAACTCATTCACCATTCTAATAGTATTGTCGTAGTGCAGCAATACAAAATTCTAATAGCATCGTGGTATTTTTTCCTGAAAAGCTTATATACTATTGCAAATATTTCCTCCTTTGTCACTGCGTGTTTATGTACCACCTTAGAACATTATTCAGAAACAGGTTTTCTCCATGAACAAAGTCTCCAATGGAATTTAGTAAAATTGCTTCCAAGTTTAACAAATATGAATGGTCCATGTGCATTTAAGAATGTGTATTCTATAAATTTCTCAGGTAATCATCAAGTAATTTTTACTAACTAACCAAAATGTGTTTAATCTAGGCTTAAACAATAATATACTTTTGGTTCTTATAAACCAAGCTAATAAAGATTTTGAAACACGTAATCTAATAACAAAACAGAAAATGTCATAGATATAAATACATATCATAAGCAATAATGTTTTAATGATTACATGACAAATTTACTACTAAATATTTATATAAAATATAAAATGAATAAATAATATTTTGAGTGACATACCTTTGTTATCATTTTTTTCTAAGTCTTTTAGCACTTGAACAAACATCAGTTGACTTTCGGTGAGAGGCCAACTGTTATACAATACTAAACACTGTATAATATACTTATAAACCTGTGAAATAAAATGCAGTGTTTAAGCAAAATCAATAAGAATAAACATATGTGCCTAAGAATTTATTATTTTAGGCATATAATAAACTCATATTTTTCTGAATCATACAATCATAATTTAATTAAACACTATCACATATTCTCTAAAACTCTGTAACACCAGTCTATAAAAGTTTATCCTCACATCCCCACCAATACCTGCCATTACATATTCTAGTATTTATAATTTTTGTACCCATATTTATAAATAAAATATATTTATTTTACTTTTGTTTCTCATCAGTTTTGGAGTTAGGATTACATTAATCACTGAGAAAAGATTGGAAAGTTTATACTGTTTTTCTATTTCCTAGAATAGTTTATTCCTTGCAAGTCTGTTAGAGCTTTCCTGTAAAGCCAAATGGGCCTATGGCTTTTTGGAAAGGTGCAACTTTATCAATTTAGTTTTACTTCTTCTCCTTCTTCTTCTCATTATTATTATTATCTTTATTTTCTATTGCATAGTGAGGCAACTTTGCCATTCCTTTCCTTACCCCCAGAACTTATTATGTTTTTTTATCTAAGTTTTAAGTTCGCTAGCATAGAGTTTTTAATAATAACACTAATTAATTAAAAAAAAAACAAAACCCTATTGTTTGGAGTTATACTGCAACTCAATTTATTTGTTTTATATTTGACTTATTTATATTTCCTTTCTTGATTGGTCTTATAAAAGACATGTCTACTTTTTTATTCTTAAAAATCTTAGGGCTTATCAACTTCCTAAATTTTGTTCCTCATTGTTATTAACTTTTTTCTTCTTTTTTCTTTGATTTATTCTTTTGCTTAGCTCATATTTCTTTTTGTCATTCATGCTTCCTCATGAATTAATTTAAAAGTCAACATTCCACTGAATGCTACTCTAGATGTGGCTTACAAATTGGTTTATAGTTTTTTATTGTTTTGAGTCCTTTATATTTAATAAATTTTTTGATGTTCTTCTTAACTAGAGGATTATTTAGTAGGTTTTATTTTGTTTCCACACTTATGAGATTTTAGGCTATTTATTAATTTCTGTATTACTGCATTTTGTTCAGATCTATATAATACAATTTGGTTTTTATGAGATTTCCTGTGTGAGCTATGAAAAAATGTTTTCTATTTATTAGGTGAAATGTTCTATACAGATATCTAAAGGATTAAGTTTATAACTAAAATTTTCAAATTCTATCATATTTTATTTTTCAGCTTGATCCATCAGTTTCTATCAGTATGTGTTAAAGTAAACAGTTAATTATTAACTTATTTTTCTTTTTAGTTCTAATAGTTTTGCTCTTTATTTATTGAGTCTGGGCAGTTAGGCGTTTATCTGTTTGTTATGGCCATATTTTGGGCCATATTTACTTGTTTTATTCTTCCTTTTACTTTTATGTTGGACCCTGTTATCTTTAAAATTTTATCTTTTTAATTGATTAGTAATCAATTTGTATTTATTGTAATTGCTTCCTTATGAGGATTTATTTCTGGCATTTTATTTGATTAATTTTTTATTTATTTTCTAATGGATATGTCATGTTTTTTTTTTCTGTTGCTTTAAATTATATGCATTCTTTTTATTTCTTTAAGACATACAAATCAGTTTTTATCATGTGTGACTTTTCAAAGTTAGATAGCCTTTTATAACTCATATGTAACATAAGATAATTACATCTACATTATAGGGTTAGTGTACAGATTAGATTTGCCACGTATTTAAAAATCTTGGCACAGAAAAACTGTTCAATAATGTCCAATTCTTCAATTCTGGTTATGAATTCATGGCATTGCATATAGAAAGCATTATACATTGACAATTTTAGGAAAAGAATTATTGTAATTTATGTTAGATTTTTAGGAGTAGTAATAGTGAATAATTCTTTTAAATGTAAATATACCTGCTGTGGTGTACTAGCATTTTCTTCCAGAGTGGTCACATTAATAGTTTCCTCTTCCACAATAGGCTGACCAATGTCTATTATTGCACTTCCAGGTCTACCCTTAAAGGATTTCAGAGAAAGCTGGGTAGATTTCTTTTTATTGTACAATTCTTGCTCTTTCTTGGGTGAAGGATGAATTAAAAGGACTTGCTTGCTAGCTAAATAGAAAAAAATATATTATGATTAAGATAAAAATATATAAAATGCATAGTTATTATTGACTGTTATTTAGTTATATACCTTTATAAGATGCTCAAAGGAACATGTCCATTTGTTTTATTTTAAGGGGATGAAAACCACATCACTGGCTTCTTGGACCTATTTTGGCTTTAAAAAAACTCATTATAGTAGTATGTGCCAGAGCACATGCATCTTCTGAGCAACCACTGATTGCTAAAAGAATACACAATAATTCAAAAATTTCTCATTCACTAAACTAAGACCATACAATATGAATTCTTCAGTGTTTAATAGTATGTGTGAATATGTTATCACACTTATAAAAAGAACTTTCATTTTAATTTTTAATTTCTATATTTATTATTTTGTAATTAATGATATTAATGATATTATAAATACCACTGGGAGGGATAAAAATAGAAATGTGCTGTGAGTTTATCAATTAATTTATTAAATGTGTATCAGAGAAACGTAAGTGAATGACAGAGGGAAATTCCAATTTCAGTCGTGATAATAATGGGCATTGGATTTATTCTCATACCATAAAAAATGATAAAATTAGACAAATGAATAAAGTAACCATGCAGCTATTGGGCAAATAGACAACCCAGGACTGTGATCCTTGAGGGAAGGGAAACATACAAGATGATCTTCCCACTTCCTCAGATTTCTGCTTGTGGGAACCTTTTCAACTGTGCCACAGGGAAGTTGAGTCCAAACAGTGAACAGCAGTGTTGTCATGTTCAAGAAGCAAAGATTGGAGTTTAGAGTCTTTGAAACAACTAGACTTTGTGAGGCAGGGTACCAGGGAGGAGGCACCTGAACAGCAAAGGAGCTCAAAAACATGCATAGGGTTCCACTTGAGTCTTTAGTTGAATTTGAAACTTTATTTGTATAAATACCTAATAGTGACGGGCAGACAACTACTAGGATATTATAAGCATATTAAAGATTCTGAAAGTTGCATAGTGTTGAGAGACAATGGAGTTCTGCCAAAATGAAGGAAATTTAATAAACTCACAGGGCATTCATCTGAGACTTAAGAAAGGCTCTTCTTTAAGGATAGAGCTACCCTAACCCTAGAATAATGGACACTGTAGCTAGACCTGACTTAAGAAAGCTTAGAGCCAAGTCTTAATAGGAGTAAGATAAATTATAAATAAGTTGTCTGCCACAACAAAATTCAACTCTCTCAATGAAGAAAGCATAATCTAGACTCTTAGCAATGTAGCAAGTACAACATACAGCACATAATCAATTTGATATATAAAGAAGCAGGAAATGTGACCATAACTTGAGGAAAAAGTCAATAAAAATAACTGTATAGCCGACACGGTTGTTGGACTTAGCAAGCGAGAACTTTAAAATAGCTATTAAAAATGGGTTTAAGAATTTAAGAGAAAAGAACAACATAAGGAAAGAACAAATGGTGGATATAAAGAGAAAAATGAAATATATAAAAAAATCAAAATGAAATTCTAGATCTGACTATATCTGAAATGAGATATTCCTGGATGGACTTAAAAAGCACACTGTTAAATTCACAAGAAGAGATTACTAAACTTAAAGATAAGCAATAGAAATAATCTAAATAGAAGAAGAGAATGAAGAAAAAATTAAACAGAGGCTAAGTGACCTATGGTATGATATTGCAGTGAGTGGAACATGACCCTAAAAAGAGATATATCTACCTAGAACTTCAGAATGTGACCTTATTTGACATGAGGGTGTTTGCAGCTATAATAAAGGTAAGGATCCCAAGATGAGACCAGTCTGCATTAATGTGGTTGTCCTTAAGAGAGACAAGAAAGAAGAAGAAATGGAGGCACATAGAAAGACGGCCATGTAAAGACAGAGGTAGGAACTGCAGAGTTACGCTGTCACAAGCCAAGGACAGCCAGGAGCCACCAAAAGCTGGAAGAGGCAAAGAAGTATTGTACAGTCTTTGATGGAAGTGTGGCCCTGACAATACCTTAATTCTGAACTTCTACTTTTCAAAATTGTGAAAGAATAAATTTTTGGTTTTTCAGGCTCCCCACCGTGTGGTAATTTTTTACAGCAGTCCTAGAAACTAATACCGGTATTGAATGATCTAATGCACATGTATTCTTAGTTCTACATGGAGCTCCTATTAAAATAAAATACTTAAGTATAAATTTAATAAAGTATGTGTAAAATCTGTACATTGAAAAAACAATGAAAACATTGCTGAGAAAAATTAGTGACTGAAGTAAAGTAGGAGATAGACCATGTCACAGTCCAGTTTTGTTAAGATGCCAGTGTTCTCACGTTCGACACTATCCCGGTTAAAATCTAAAGCTACAATTTTCAAGAAAAACGTGGCATTAGACTAAGCGTAGGTATTTAGATCAATTGATATAAAGAAGTCACAAAATAGGCCCCCACACACAGAATCAACTGACTTGGAAAAAGTGTCAAAGTAATTCAATGTGGAAAGTATCAGTTCTGGAGAAACTGGATATCCATGTGGGAATAAAAAGAACCTTGACCTTCTACATTGCATCATATACAAAAATTCAAGATGGGTAATAAAACAGAGCAAGGTGCTAAGATTAAAAAACTTTTAGAATAAAACATGAGTTAGACTATCCATTCCTTGAATTAGGGATATATTTCTCAGGTAAAACACAAACTGCACTAGTGATTTTTTTTAAATGACAACTTTGATTTCATCAAAATTGAAAGTTTCTGCTCTTCAAAAGTTATTGTTAAGGAAGTGAAAGGATAAGCCTTAGACTAAGATATTATGTTTGCAAAGCATGTATTTGATAAAGGACTTATATCCATAATATACAAAGAAGAAAAGCAACCTGTTAAAAATACGGGTGTCATGTGTAAATGGACACGTCCACCAATAAGTCATACCTGTGGCCAATAAGCACGCAAAAAGAGCTCAACATCATTAGTCAGCAAATTTAAACCACAAGGAGGGATAACTACCTAATCAACAGAATGACTAAAATGACAGACACTGACAATGATAAATATAGGCAAAAATATGGAGAATCAGAAATCTCATACTTTGTAAAATGATACATTCTCTTTGATAAAGTTTTTGGCAATTAAAAAAAAATATATATATATATGTATACATATATCAAACCATGATACATCAATTCAACTCCCAAGCAAGAGAAATAAAAACTTAAGTCCAAAAAAATAAAAAATAAAAAGACTTATATAAGCAAGCGTGTCTCTAGAAGCTTTAGTGACAAAACCCTAAAACTGGAATAAACTCATAGGTCTAGAAGAAGAAAAGATAAACAAAAGCTATCCATACAATGAAATAATACTCTGCAACATAAAAAGGAAAAGATTAGTAACAATATGGATGTATCCTAAAACACGATGCTGAGCAAGAGATACCAGTGCCAAGAAGTATTTACATGCTCTCAGTTTCATGAAGTTCTAGAAAAGGCGAAACTAGTCTATGGTGATGGAAATGTGAATAGTGGTGGCCTTTTAGGGGTTTGGGAATTAAATGGAAATGGCCTAAGAGATCTTTGTGGGTAACAGAAATGTTCTATATCTTTTCAGGGGTGTAAGTCACACTAATATATGCACTTGTCAAAACTCATTGACTTGTTTGTGCTTTTTGCTGTATATAAATTATACTGCAATAAAATTTAAAAATGAATGACACAAAGTGCTTATCCTTGGGAAGTAATTTTTTCATTACTTCCTTTAGACATTTAGTCATTCATTCATAACCCATTCTTTAACAAAAATATTTAAAATATGAAAAAGGAAAATTTTCCTTAATAGATTAAATTATATATTAATTTTCCTTAATATATAAGATATATAAAAACATGTTTAAACCTCACTAATGGTAAGTGAAATATAAATTAATATCTTCAGCATTCAGATTGACAAAAGTCAAGAAATATGATAACACTGTTATTCAGGGGAGTTTGGATAAAAGAAGGTAAATTTACACAAACTCAATTAAGGCCAATTTGACAACACAGAATTGCTGTTAAAATTAATTCTAATGAAAGAGTAGAATGATCACAAATCATGATCAGTAGGAGATTGGTTATATTAATTATGATATATTATCAACAAAATTGAGCCTTACACAAGAAATTAGATATTTTATTATTTCTAGTCCATAGTACTCCTTCAAACATTCAATTGCCTAGACGGCAAATGTGGCAAATTACAAATTTTATATTAACTCTTCAGCATGAGTACTGCTGTAAAATTTTAATTCTGAAAATTTTATGATATATACAGACATTCTTTAAAATTTCCATGAGATAATATAAAACCTAAAGAGGCCTGTATTTAAGATTTTGTTACTGGCTCACTTCAGAGCCTTTTGCATCTGTGCAATGGAGTTAATTTCTTCTTTAGTACCATAAAATTTTTTCTTACAGATTACCATAATCTGACATACCCTGTTCCACTACAAATATAGCATGCGTGCATGCATGTGTGTGCGCGTGCACGCGCGCGCACACACACACACACACACACACACACACACACACTCTTTTTGCATGTATTTTTGGTAGGGCTATTTCAGAAATACATATAGTAAAGATTTAATAAATGGATATGTTTTCAAGAGAAGCTACTGAAAATTGTTTAGAAAGAAAAAGGAATTTCAGTGTCTGTTTATATACATAAACACAAATTAATAACATCCCTTTAAAAATAACATTCTGTTTGAAATCTAAAAAAAAAATCTAATTTACAATAACAACTTTATCAATCTCCAGGAATAAATTTTTTAATAGTTTCTGTGAAACCTAAATGAAGTCATGAACAAATGGAAAGAAATAGCATTTGCTTGTATAAAAATTCAATATTACAAAGATGTCAGTTCTCCTTCGATTAATTAATCTATATATTCAACTATGGGAGGTGAACACACAGTGTAAATATATATATGCCTTACTGTTAAAATGCACAGCTGAAACTTATTGGATTTTGTTAACCAATGTCACCATATATTCAAAACATCTATATATTTGAGAAAATCCGAAGGAAAACGATGACTTTTTGAATGGTTTGCAGGAAATTTGAAAAAAAAACTATTAAAATTCATCTAGAAATGCAAATATGAAAATAGAAATAGCTTGTAAAAGAACAATCATAGATGATGGCTCTAATTTTGGAACAATTTTTGAATTCTGTTTTAATTATCCTTTCACTCCATTTTTCTCTTTCTTTGCCATAAGTAAACACAAAAGATTAAGTGTTTATGTATAACTATCTTGTAAATGGTAATTTTTGAAGTGAAATAATGATAACCTATATGACAAATAATAAACAATGTTTGCCTCTACAAATTTAAATGAAAAGATTTGGAGAGGAATGTTGGCGGCAAGTAGTTATTTAATAAAACACATGAGCCCCTAAATAGCATAGGAGAGTTGCACATAAGTGCCTGTTAAAGTCCTGGAGTTAAGGTAGCCCTGCGTGAAACAGTGAAACCCATGTGGAATGGATTAGTGTGGAGAAAAGAAAGTCACCTTAAAGTGTAAGAGCAGCATTCAGATTAGTGAAACTTAACAGTACTCAAATGATTTTAACATACATGAAGAAAAAAGTGTAAATAGAATGCGGGCAGATTTGACTGAAACACCTCAAAGTAGTAATGTGAACTGAGTACTGACAATGACCCAGGGGACAGTCAAGGATGAAAGACAAATGATGGAATAAAATAAAAGGAGACATAATCAAAGGACCTGAATATAAGACCTGAAACAATAAAATGCATAGAAGAAAACATAGGAACTAAACTCAAGGACCTTGGTCTTACAGAGGATTTTATGAATTTGACTTCAAAGGAAAGGAAAGTAAAAGCAAAAATAAATGAATGGGACTACATCAAACTAAAAAGCTTCTGCTCAGCAAAAGAAATCGTCAACAAGGTAAAGAGACAACCATCTCAATGGGAAAATATATTTGCAAGCAATGCCTCCGATAAGGGCCTAAT